GCCCCCCCCCCCATCGCTGAATGTCAAGGTGCGCGCCTGTATTTGTTGACCAATAATCCCCCCATGTACTGTCGTCTTTAACCAAACCCTCCTCTCGGAAAAACCCAAACCAAACATTACTCAAGCAATTTCTCTGTACTCCTACAAAAGGAAAACACCAAATTGTAAAAGGTTTTAATTAAGCATAAATAATCAAATCCAAAAATAACTTTGCAATCCATAGTAGTTCCACACAACCAGATTTATATTTTCAGACGTATTTCCAAATGTTTTAAACTACTCCATCAAACCCTCCAAACCTTAATCACTCCTTAATCATCCTGACACAGCTAAATTGTAAGCTATCTAATTAAACATTCATACAAATTTATACATCGACATTTATTTTACTCTATCTGTATTTTTTATGTAGGTTTGAAATATATCCGTTTACCTGATTATTTGTGTCCCAGTTGATGAGCCTAATCAACTAACCAATTAACCAACAAACTAACTAACCAACGAACCAACTAACTAATGAACCAAATAGCCAACCTAACATCTAATTATTTCAAACTACCAATCTGAAACAAAATGGATGTTGTTCAATCTCTCGAACTTGATACTATCCCTGGAGACAACACAGAGACCCAGCCAGGAGCCTCAGAAACCATGCACCAGGAATTCTCCCTACCTTCTACAGGGATACATGATCTGTAGCAAGCCAACCAACCACGTTCGCAACCTGGATGTGGACCTGAGACACAGCAATACCACCCCGACCTCTCCGACAACATCCTGCCTCTCACCTCTGCAATCCAAAATGTAATTCATATGAATTATTTCCAGGAACTGGATATCATTAACCACTAGTACATCTTAACTATGAAAACCAACTTGGATTGTTCCCTCTATAATTAATCCAACTTCCATGAAACCCAACAGACCGCCATGCCATGGTCATCCTCAACTCCTGCCTTTAACCACCAGTTAACCCTAACTACCTGATCCTCACCGCGGCTTTCCAGCACGCTATTCAGGAGAACGACATCGATATACTGAAAAATTCGACCAGTTATTCATCCTAAACATGAAATCCAATTTAGACTTTTTCTTTTATGACTACTCCAACTTCCATGAAACCCAACACCTCTGCGGCTTTCCAACATGCTATTCAGGAGAACGACATTGATATATATAAAAGTTGATAAACTGTGCAAAAGTCACTACTGTCAAGACCCTCATCCAAGATCTCCCTACTGACCTCCAACTTGTTGATCCTACATCAACTGCAGATCCTTCAACCAAACAAGACCCTTCAACCAAACCAGATCCTTCAACAGAACCAGATTCTGCAACTAATCCAGATCCTTCAATCAAACCAGATCCTTCAACCTCACCTGATCCTCCAATCGAACCAGAACCTCCAACCAATCCAGATCCTTCTACCAAACCAGATCTGTCAACTGAACCAGATCCTCCTACCAAACCAGATCCTTCTACAAAACCTGATCCTACAACTGCACCAAATCCTCCAACCAAACCAGATCCTAAGTTTCAACAATATTGTATAACCTAGAAAAATCCTCCTCTGTCTAGCCAAAGAACTTTCCTGATCAGAGTCCAACCAAATTCTGAGAATTTCTAAACATTTATTATTATGTTTTTTTTATGATTATTTATATCCAATAAACGTGAAAACAGAAGAAATCAAACTTAATATTTTTTGTGGCAATTAATGTGACCCCGTTATTGATGGACAAAAACTTGGTTAGTTTTTTCATTTTCAATTTTTAAGGTTTTAGTACCGAAACTACCCTTAAGGTTCCAACATTTGAAAACTAAACTCTGTAAAAGTTAAAATTTAAATAAATTGATATAAAATTCCTATTTAAAATAGAATCCAATAATAAAAAAAGAAATTTTTGATTGCTATTTAACGAAAAAGAAAAGGTGCAGATGGACGAAAAACTATGAATTGATAATAGATAGAACGCATGAAGCCCCCCTTAAGCAGGCGAATAAATTCTTTTTTTCATCTCGCGGATTATTTTGCAGGAATGGATTTCGAAGTTTGCGCGTTGTCTAGATTAAGATATTTCCAAATAAAAAACTGAAACTCTGACATTTTCTCTCAATATCCTCAACCTGTCAGTTCTCTATATTTTATCTTCCACATTGTTTAATGTGTGAAGGAATAGTTTCTCTTTTTATCGCTACCTGTCCTTCCTGTCCTCACTTCGGTCCCTTATCTCTCTCCACCATTATTGGTTCTCTTGGTGAGTCCTGGAGCCAGCCTGAGATAAAAAGACCAAACTTGTTTAATTATATTTATTATACGGGCACAGTTAAATATATTAATACTGTATATACATCAACTACAGCTAACATAGTATAATAATAGAAAGACATGTCTCAGGGCGTGAACGGCTTAAGTGGTCTGCAAGGCTCTAATTTCTCAAGTAAGGATGGGATAATTGAGTTTTGATGTTTCATTTTTTATCAGAGCAATTGGTGCAGGTTTTAAATAGTACAAGAAACACCCCCTTCTCCAGGGTTCTAAATCCAATTAATCTTTTAAAAATCAATATTTCAAATTTTGAAGTCAGATTTCTCAAACATTTAATTTTGATTTGAGCAGGGGGTGCTGAATAATGGTCCTGGTTCAACTGACAATTATAAAGATCAATGGTGTGCAGTGTTCCTGCTCAATAAAAGATCGGGTGACTCAATCCAAAAATATTTTCACAAATGGTGGCCACCTTTTTTACAAACATTTAGAGAACATTTCAAATTTATTTCTACATTTTAAAAAGTGCCCTTTCGGTAAATACGATTTCTATGGATATCTAATATTCCGTTTATTAGTTAAGTCATGGGAACAGTATTTAAACACTTGTACATACAAAACCTTGTACTAAACATGTACAGTATGCATCTCACATACGGTACATGAATAGGTACCTGTAGGCTTTGTATATTGTACACCTGGTATGTACAAATTGTACACAGTACACTAATTGTACACCTGATGTACTTAAATAAATTGTACACCTGGTATTCTGTACATAAGTTGTACACCTGGCACACTGTACATAAAAGTACTGATCTAGATTAAACCAATAACAAGAACTCTAGTTTACCCAACATTTTACATTTTAATTAGTTAAACCCCCTAATTAGGGTAATATTTGATTTTTTTTGGTAATTTAGGCTTTATATTTAAATTTATAGGTTTTTCCATATACATTATGTTGATAAATATTGTGTGCTGTTCTACATATATATGTTCACACCAAGAATGGAGGAAAAAGCTGAAATATTAAAGAATTATGAAGAATAATAAGTCGGTGGGGAATATGAAGTGGCTTAGGCAGTAAGCAGTAAAAACATAATAAAATAAAAGTCTTGAATTTTATTTTTTGAAAATTTTTCCTTATAAGTTTAGACAAATTCTGGTCGATTAAATCCGACATGATAGGAAGGACTTTCTCCCTCACAAAAAAAGTTGAGTGTTGACTTGAAGAAACAAATTTTATGGGACTTTTTATGGGACTTTTTATGGGACTTTTTCTCAGTGTGTATGTTTCAGACATGAATAGAAAGTTTTTGAGTCCTAGACAACATAATTGGTGTTAGGGACTAGTTTCATGTTCATATCCAAGGAAAGAAAAAATCTAACATGAAGTTAGAATGAACATTTTTACAAGAGTTACAAGTATACCGAAGCAAGCACATTATAAGAGGAAGGTGGTTATCATACATACTTCCAATGTCTCCGCTATTTACTAAAGTTTGATTAAATGGTAGATGATAAAATGAAATAAATGAATTGGAATTATGACAGAGCGCTAATTTTGCTGAATATCTCTCCTTTTCCCGAGTACATAGATACAGTTAGTTTCCGGAATTAATGACGAGACACTGGTTTGTTATGGAGGAGAGAGGGTTGGTTGACTTTTCAGAATGAATCTTCGTGTTGGAACCTGGGTCTCCACACTTAATCACAGCGCTCTTGCTCACAATCACAGCAGGTGGTTTTCGACCCAATTCTCCCAGATCCTGGCGCACTAGGTCAGCATAGTAGCTGGACCCTGCAACAAGCTGGAAACTTTTAAAGACAAATTTAGGATTTTTATCCAGGTTTGGTAGAGCTTAATTCCACTGGTTTACCCACGGTGGGGGAGTGTTCTCTGACTGGGGATTTTTTTATTTGAACTTATTCGGAATTTCTAGGTTTAACCTTTCTAGGTTTCTCCTGCTTAGTTTTACCCTTGCTGTTCTCTGTTCCCTGATTCATCATCGCTTGCTCCGTCCTAGAAAGTAGATTGTATTAGGTTTAGCCAAGTGTACAAGATATGAACAATTATTAATCCCATTAGCTAGGTTCTTTTTTCTCTATCCTATTCATAAATCTTGAATATATTAATCATAGGACAGAGTGGGAATCTTGACTTTTCTCAATATAACATTGTTATAAGAGATGCATTTTTTAAATATAATGTTAAAAGGATCTACACTATTCAGAATGAAGCGTACTGCAATGTTCATAAAGAAACTGACTTTATATAATTCCATCTGATACGATCCCAAATGTTGATTGATTGACATTAGGGGCAGAAATTAACAATTTTGTTGTGAAGTATTGGAAGTCAAGTTGTAGAATATTTTCTGTCTCTTATATTGTTTAGTGATATTTACACCTTTTAACACCCCAAATGCAGTACACAATTCTGAAGATGCAGTACACGTACACAAAAAATTTGCCAAACGTACTGCAATTTAAAAAAAGAAAAGTTTTGCATTATTTAGAATAAAACAAACGTACTGCAATTTATAGAAAGAAAAGTTCTACAATGTTTAGAATAAAATTTACTGCAATTTTTATAAAAAAAAGTTCTACAATGTTTAGAATAAAACGTACTGCAATGTTTACCTGCGACATTGCGGAATCCCCTTCGCTGACCGAACTACCGGTCATTTTATCACATTCCAGGGACTCCCTATTCTTCTCCTTCTCTCCGCAGATCAGAACTTTCTCTTCCTCATTCTCCTCCCGGTCATCTCCTACTCCGTTCTCCTTTACTCCGTTCTCAGTAGTTCCGCTAGTTCCGTTCTTCTGTTCCCCACTTCCTCCCTCTTCTCTGATATCCACCTCGTGTTTACTCGCGATGTAATGGATCAATCTAGAAAAAAAATTGTTATGGAACATTCTAAAACTAATCGCTCTAAAACATCATTTGGCCATGTCAAGTCCACGCACAATATGGGATTTCAATCAGTCGTCTTGACGTTTATTCGAAGCAAAAAAGGCAGAGTCAAGTTTGCAACAATATCTTTATACTAATTCATATATTAGATATCACGGATGTGTCTTCTTATGTAATTCAAACACATTGTTACATCACGAATTTCATCTTGCAATTTCAAACACTGAGAACTTGATATTTTTATTTTATATATGATAGATGAAACGGTGCATTGAGGGCTTATGCACATTTAATAACGTGGCAAAATTGTAAATCAATTAAAAACTGCACACGACTCCAGTAATATTAAATATAAGTCTATTCTTTTACAATGTATGCTAGACTAAATGCCGAGTTCCTGGCTGTGTATTGAATTGGGTAACCCCATTTTATTGAAATTTTGCGTTGACAGTTTAGGAATTAGTCTTGTCTTTCAAGGTTAATAGATTTCTTCTTAACATATTTCAGAATTTTTAAAGTACTTTTAAAAATAACGTTTGAAGGATAAAATGATAGGGACCGCCGCGACATTTGTGAAAAAGTTTAGATATTAAACGACGAAAATTAAAGATCGCTGTGGATATAAATGTAATTGATATTAATTGAAATTAATTATTATCAGCAACGATTTTTTTGTCTAAAAAATGACGGAATATTTTATTTTAGAAAATACAAAAAAACAAACATTATTTCTGGACTGAGCCTAAAAAAATTCAACACAATCATAAATATCAGGGAAACTTTTTCAAACTTCTTTTTGAATAAAATATTTGTTACCTTGTGGGTAAGGTTCCAGGGTTTAGTTGATAAAACTCAACAAGTTGAAGAAGATCAAAAAATTTGGTTTTTCCATCGTCCACAGTGTAAGTTACTCCATCCGCGTTTGATACCTAGGAAATCATAGCTCTTAATATTTGATCTACCAGGATAAGAATATTTGATCTACCAGGATAAGAATATTTGATCTACCAGGATAAGAATATTTGATCTACCAGGATAAGAATGGATCAATTTTATTGCGTCATTTCATTTTATGACTAATACATTTTTATCGTTGATAATAAAATATTTTATTATAAAATTAAACCCACGTATAAGAACATCAATTTTTCCTAGGTTAAATATGCATATTTGCACACTGTTTAATAAATATGGGTACCCCAGTGTTAGCAGGGGTACCCGGAGAAAAGATATTAAACCTACCCTTATTGTGCTAGTATATAGGGTACCCGGAGAAAAGATATTAAACCTACCCTTGTTGTGCTAGTATATAGGGTACCCGGAGAAAAGATATTAAACCTACCCTTGTTGTGCTAGTATATAGGGTACCCGGAGAAAAGATATTAAACCTACCCTTGTTGTGCTAGTATATAGGGTACTAGGAGAAAAGATATTAAACCTACCCTTTTTGTACTAGTATATAGGTTACTAGGAGAAAAAATATTAAACCTACCCTTGTTGTACTAGTATATAGGGTACTAGGAGAATATGACAGTAAACCTACCTTAAATGTATTGCAGGGGTACCCATAGTACCCAGAGAATATGATAATAAACCAACCCTTTCCATTAAGGGTACTCAGATAATAACAAAATAAACATAACCTTGTGTTACCGAGGTTACCCGGATGATAAGGAAAAGAACCTACCCTTGTGTTACCAAGGGTACCTAGAGACTAAAAAGATAAACCTACCCTTGTGTTAACAAGGGTACCTAGAGACTAAAAAGATAAACCTACCGGTAGAACTTGAGAATGAAACAGTTTCCCAGTATAAGTATAGGAGATCACAAACCCACCAGATACACTGCTCTCACGAACCAAGAAAACCCTGAAAAAGAATCAAAAATTAAAGAAACCCTAGCTTGCCAATTTAAAGGTGGGATAAATGCAAAAGTTTTTGGCTAAAAAGTTGTAATAAGAGACTTTTTTTCCATTGAAATAGTTTAAATTTTTGTATTCCATTTTTTAAAAGAAAATTACTATCCTTTGAAAAATCTGCTTCTGTATCCAGGTTAACTAATTTTAGCCAAGATTCCCCCCCCCCCCAGCCCAGGGGCCAACTGTAAACATGCAGCTCCTACATATATTCCCCTTCTCTAACCTACACTCACACATTCACAGATTTCAGTTCAGATAAATAGAGATATGTAGATTCAATATGTGATGACAGCTAGTTATCCAGATTATAAAGACTAGAGAGGTAGGTAGATAGTTAGTCAGGTAGTCAGATATTCAGGTAATCAGGTAGTCAGGTAGTCAGGTAGTCAGGTAGTCAGGTAGTCAGGTAGTCAGGTAGTCAGATAGTCAGGTAGTCAGATAGTGAGGTAGTCAGGTAGTCAGGTAGCCGAATCGTTCAGGGATTGGCAAGTTTTGATCGGACATACAAAAGACTGAGATTACTACTTTATAGAATTAGATGATGAACACCTACCCGTCGACAGCAGTATGCTGCTGCAGGATCTTATGTGCTCTTTCCCTGACAAGCCCTGCGTGAAACCAGGCTTGGGACTTGTGCACGTTCGCCTGGGTCTCCGTCAGCTTGTCCGATACGACTGCAGCTACTCGCCGTCTAGAATTTTCATAATTTTAATCTTTAAATCTCCTACTCTCCACCCTCTTACCTCATATTCAATCTTTAAATTTCCTTCTCTCCCCCCTCGTCCCTCATATTTAATCTTTAAATCTCCTTCTCTCCCCCCTCGTCCCTCATATTTAATCTTAAAATCTCCTTCTCTCCCCCCTCGTCCCTAATATTTAATCTTTAAATCTCCTTCTCTCCCCCCTCGTCCCTCATATTTAATCTTAAAATCTCCTTCTCTCCCCCCTCATCCCTCATATTTTATCTTTAAATCTCCTTCTCCACCCCTCGTCCCTCATATTTAATCCTAAGACTTTTACCCTGGAAAATGTTTTAGATTTATTTTCGAAAAAATTAAATTATCAAAATTTCCTCTTTCCGGCCCCAAAGAAAAAAATTCCCCCACATTCAGACACTTTTTTCCCTGGGATATTTTCACTTGTTCTTTTAAAGAATAGTTTGAATGATTCTCACCGGAACGGAACATATCCGTCCTTGCTGGTGGGTCCAGTCTTGTCGCATTTCCGGATATCCTTGGGATTGTCCAGAACCCGTCCTCCGTCCTCTCCGGAGAAATCCATCGCAACATACACCTTGGACCTGACGCTCTCCTGCAACATTATCAGAGTTTAGATAAATTCGGAATTTCTAAAAGCGATAAATTTTAGAAAACATTAGTTAAGAAGGTGACATGAGTAGAGTGAGGACTACAAAGATGTTTTCAAGGTTACGAGCCCACCCAATTTCAAGAAGTAGGACCTTAAAGTGCACAGATCAATGATTTAAAGAGCCATTGAAAATAATGGACTCTGTTTCAAGAAACAATGGATTTGCTTTTAAATCGAGAAATGAACATTTTTTTGCCGCCAAAGTTTTTTTTTTAAATTCAAGTTTTTTCCGTCAATAATTGTCAATCTTAACAATTAGCATAAACTGCCTGTAACGTAGATAAAAATGGATCGCTAAAATGGTTAGTTTTCCCTTAATGGGGTTAGAAAAATAATTTAACGTTCATTCATATTCTCTTAATCAATTCTTTATAACTTCAACAAACCTTATTGCTGGGAGAAAAATTAGTATAAAGGTCTAGTTCAAAAGAATTACTGGTTAAAGAGAGATAAAAAAATGTACTAATGGAACTAGAAGTAATGAATTAAAATAACATGTATCTTGTATGATGATAAAAATCTAAAAGAATAGCTTAAAACAGAAAACGATGAAAAATTAAAAATAAAGTTGGGGTTAGAACTTATTCAAACAACAATCTAGAGAATTAAATATAAGAACCAATAATAACCAGTTAAATCTAGAATCCATTGGTTGTTAATAAAAAGGTTATTCACTTATAAACGCCCCCCCCCCCTCCCCCCACCCAGCATATTTATTCTTGGTAATAATCAACAACCACTCCCCTCGTTAAATAAGATTATCCCTTATAAGCAGCCTTGTTGTAATGGGTTTTCAAGTGTATTGTGCATATTATTTTGCATATTTATTGCAAAAATAAACATGAAGATTGCATACATAATACATGTATGCGCCCCACCCTAAAAACTCTAAGAATGTGACGATGCAAAATCTTGGTTATGTAATCACAGATGTTGAGAAGAAATATGTTAAAAAAAACTGGAAAGAACAAGTTTTGGGAAAGTTAGAAACTTGAAATTTATTGTTTCCTCCTGGAAGAGCAATTACTCATCAAGCAGGGCAAATTTGTTACGTTTTTTTACTACTTTTATGGACATTGATGCAGGACATAAAATCCTAGCTTTTAGATAAGAATTATGTTATGTGGGTAGATAGATAGGATAGGGGGGATTAAAGATTTCGAGTAGAAAAAAACTGGCAGTTAAGAGGCAGTAATGGCTAACTTTAGAACAGAATGGATTATGTCACAGCCCACCGTTCTGCTTTAAAGAATGTTTTTACGGACTCTAGTCGGACATTTATGGTGCGGAATTTTATTTCATGATTTATTGAGAATGAATTGTTTTGAAAACTTACATTTGGGAGTTGGAAGCTTGTGTAGTCCTCGGGGTTGAAATGTTTAGTCTTTCCTTGCTTGGCTTTTAGATTCCGACAAGACTCACGGATCCGTTTACTCAACTGAAAATACATTTTTTATTCATTGTTTAGATTAACTAATAATTAATTTTCTAATTATCTCTCAATCAGCTCTTTATGATCATTTAGTTGCTCTATCTATCAGCACTTTAAATCCTACAGTTTTTCTATTTATCACCGCTTTCTTCAGTTCTTTATAATTCTATAGTTTGTCTATCTTTCTATTTATCACCGCTTTCTTCAGTTCTTTATCATTCTATAGTTTGCCTATCTTTCTATCTATCAGCTCTTTATGATCTATTCTATTTATTTATCATCTTTTTCATAATTCTAGTCTATTTTTGATCCGCCTTAAATAACCCTTTAGTTTATTACTGTTAATCTATATTTGTATGTTGTATGTATAGCTCTATTTATTTCTTTAATTCATTCATCAATTTATTATCCTTGATGTATTTATCAGCTATATCATTCTATCAGTTCATTGAGCAATAAAATATCAAATATCTTGCTGAAAATGAAACTGTTTTTCTAATCTTTCAGAATTTATTTTCAATCATGGTTTTATTGTTCCTTATGAACTCAAGCTAAAATTTTAAAATTTTAAAAAGTTTTGAAATTTAACTTTGAAAGAGGTTCATCATCATAGAAAATGGAATTCTTTTTTTTAAAGCTTGTTTTAGCCTTAAAACGTACCCCTGCCTGCACCGTTCAAGGATATTTAAAAAAAACCTTTTCTTCAAATTACACAGCGAAAGGACACTTGAAATCTTTAATATTTTTCGCAAAATATATTTCCCTTTTACAGTGTACGATAACGTGACCCCGAATTTATCATGCTGGTTTTAATTCTAACCTTACAACAAAGTTTAATTAAGGAGGAGTGCATGTTAATCTTCTTTTAGTTTTCTTGAAAACGAGCATAGACTATTTAATTCACCACATTAAAAAATACTCAGATTTAAAATATGATTTTTATTTTCTTAAGCCAAAACTTTAATCGTTTAAAAACTTGGCATGTGCTTTAATCATGAATAATTTTATTCTTCATTTCTTTGATAGGTCATAAAATGTTACGAAAGATGCAGGCAGAATTATACACCTAAAAACCTAATTGTAAACTCCTACAAAAACAGATTTGTGTAACACCAGAAATAGATCCAATTTACATAGTCATTCTAAAACTTTCTTTAAATCTAAAATCTAACTGGGCATCAAGGGGGAGGGGCTCTGATTTAAGTTAAAACAGAAGAGAAATGTTTAAATGTGAAAGGTGAGCACTATAAGGGAGGCAGAGCAGGTGTGTATTTATATAAAATTCTTTTAACGTGTGTTTCTGAAATCAACGTACATGTTTCTTAAATCAATGTACGTGTTCTTGAATTCAGTATAAGTGTTCATGAAATTAGAGTACATGTTCCAAAAAGCAGTGAGTATAGATGTGTTTAAGGTGTGAGAGTGTGAGTATAGATGTGTTTAAGGTGTGAGAGTGTGAGTATAGATGTGTTTATGGTGTAAGAGTGTGAGTATAATTGTGTTTAAGGTGTGAGTGAGTGAGTATAGATGTGTTTAAGGTGTGTGAGTGTGAGTATAATTGTGTTTAAGGTGTGAGAGTGTGAGTATAGATGTGTTTAAGATGTAAGAGTGTGAGTATAGATGTGTTTAAGGTGTGAGTGAGTGAGTATAGATGTGTTTAAGGTGTGAGAGAGTGAGTATAGTAATGATGGTCTATCCAGGAGAAGGAGGGCTCTAGTAGAAGATACAACCTTGAGGAACATAAACCGGATCCTACTATATCGGCCTAGTCACTAGCCAGGCCTTTTCATACACGGAGAAGTCAGCTGGGAGAGAACATCTTTAGTTTTTTGTTTGTTTATTTTGATAATAAACGCATAGTTTGAAAATAGAAATTCAACTCGGATATTATCTGTGTGGATTAAAGCTGAAGAAAGTCTGTTTAAATCCTGAGGAATAATTATGAAGATTGGATGGTTTGATTAAACCTCTCCAAGCATTAGATCCAAACCTAGATATCTCCACTCTTTGAATTAATCTAAATTCGAATCTCAAAATTTCATGTTTTCAAACTAAATTCTCATTCTGTGTGAAATCGATCAAGTTACATCATTCTAGATAAAAACAGATCCAGGAATTTTGAGTCAGAATAATGAATGCAACAAGCTTTTAATCAGAAGGATCGGAGATTTGGTAGGAGCAGGGGAGGAAGATAGAAGAGAGGAATGGATTCAGGGAAGGTAAAGATGGATAAGGAAAAAAGATTTGACAGAAAAGATGAAAATGGAGGGATAAGGATGGACGGAAAGAGAAATTAAAGGATGGAAGGGAGAAGGAAGGATGGATGAAGGGAGAAGGAAGGATGGATGGACGGAAAGAGAAATTAAAGGATGGAAGGGAGAAGGAAGGATGGATGGACAGAAAAAAAAGAAAATTTAAATCCAGAGTTAGAGAATACAGAGAGTAAAGAGTACAGAATTTGAGACAGGTAATCTAGAGTTAGAGAATACAGAGAGTAAAGAATACAGAATTTGAGACAGGTAATCTAGAGTTAGAGAATACAGAGAGTAAAGAGTACAGAATTTGAGACAGGTAATCTAGAGTTACAGAATACAAAAACCAAAATATTTAAGTTAAAGTAAAAAATGTTCTGTGACAATATGACAATGGAATACCCATTTGGAATATTTGATTCAGTTTTTGAACAGTCATACTGCATACTGCATAGAGCTAAATCGGATCTGTTTCCATGTACTATTATAACGGGGACATATTTTCAGTCCTTACTCCGGGTTGCATGGATCCATGGTGTAGTATAGTGTTCTTGTTGTGTTGAGCTTCTGAGTGGTTGTAAGAGGGGCCTGTTGTGTGAAAATGAAAAGAAATGGATAGATAGATAGTTGGATAGAAAGATAGAATACTTTATACAAAGAGTGTATTATTAGTATTATGATAGGCCCGCTATCAAACTCGCTGATTAATAAGCCCTGTAATTTAGCCACGCTCCGTAAAATCAATAATCTTCTGTAGTCAAGCAATTAATGCATAATTTACAATTTATTACACTGGTTTTCCTTTAGAACCAGCCATTCCTGTCATCCATAATATATATTATATACTCCTTGTTTCTACTCCATTGATCAAGTAATCAAGTATTTCACAGTTAGAAACTATAGGAACGATCGAACCATTAACAGAAGGCGTCAAAACAAATTGAATTATTTTCTGTTCAACCCTAAATCCATCTGTTTTCATTTTCTTCAAAATATGTCGGAATATATCTAACTTAAGAGTTTTTGTTTGATTGAAGATTTGCAGACTTGGCTCAAATCTCCGCCAAGATTCATCTTTCTCTCATACTCTTCAAACCCTTTCCAGAGCTTCAGCCAGGTTTAATCTTTCTCTTTTACTCTTCCAACTATTCAAGACCTCCAACCAGGTTTAATCCTTCTCTTTTACTCTTCCAACTATTTCTGAGCTTTAGCCAGGTTTAATCTTTCTCTTTTACTCTTCCAACTATTCCTGAGCTTCAGCCAGGTTTAATCTTTCTCTTTTACTCTTCCAACTATTCAAGACCTCAAACCAGGTTTAATCTTTTTCTTTTACTCTTCCAACTATTCAAGACCTCCAACCAGGTTTAATCTTTCTCTTTTACTCTTCCAACTATTCCAGACCTCCAACCAGGTTTAATCTTTCTCTTTTACTCTTCCAACCTTTCCAGACCTCCAACCAGTCTAATCTTTCTCTTTTACTCTTCCAACCTTTCCAGAGCTTCAGCCAGGTTTAATCTTTCTCTTTTACTTATCCAACTATTCCTGAGCTTCAGCCATGTTTAATCTATCTTCTTTAATCTTTCAATCCTTTAAGCCGGGTTATTTTGTTTTCTAACCTCGTTTGATATTTCATATGCATATATTCCAAAAACGAACAGGTAGAATATCTTAACAGTTTTAAATCTATCTGGCCCTTTTCCACAGTTTTCTTTTATATATTTAGCAAGTATCCGTGCTTTTAGTATTCATTGAAACTTTTAGACTCTTCCTAGGTTCTACATGAGAGCTGGGTTTCACATTTCTCCTGTACACTTTAAACCTTTCAAGCTCTTACCAGGTTAAATACATCTCCTTTACTCTTCAAACCTTCAAGTACCAGAGTCAGGTTTTTCTCTTATCTTCTTTAATCTTTCAAGTTTATGCCCTCCGGTTAACGAGTCAAGTCCAACTTTCTGGCAAGGGAAGCTTAGAGTGAGGACAGAGAACACTGCTCAGAGGACGAAGTTTTTGTGACTCAAGCTAATCTTATGTTCAACTTTTACAAGTTAACTGTCACAATAGAACTCGAAAGAAGGAAATACTCAACTGAACTTAAGTCCAATTGCAAGGTTATAAACTTTGGCCACCGGTTCTTTTTTTATGTTATTTTTATGGTTGTCTAGACGCAATCTTAGTTAAGTTTGTTTCTCCTGTAAATCGTCTACATGTTCACCAGATTACAGTTTTATATCCAGTACAAATATCTAGTATATAAATCCAGTATATATATCTCCACTACATATATCTAGTACATACATCCAGTACAGATATCCAGTACATATATCTATTATATAAACCCAGTAAAGATTTACAGCCCATATATCTAGTACTTAAATCCAGCATAAATATGCACTAAAAATATCCAGTAGAAATATCCACTACAAATATCCAGTGCATACACAGGGTGAGTAAAAAACACAGGGATTATCGATGTTTTGGACAACATTTTCAAAAGTAATATTTTGTTCGGATTTTATGCAGAAATAAAACAAAATGTGATAATGTTTATTTTGTTGTTTTTCAAAATTTCACGAAAATACATCAAAAATTGAAAGAAATATAAAAAACTCCGTAAAAAAATTAGAGTGGAAATATATGACTTCAAAAATGCTAATAATAGGTTATTTTCTTTTGTTATATCTCATTCAATTTTTGATAAATTTTTATGAAATTTTGGAAAATAATAGAATAAACATTTTTCATTAATTTTTCAAAAATTTGATTCTTTTCCAAAAAAAGGTTTTTAATCACATTTATTTATGTTCCTAAAATCTTAACAAAATTTTTTTTGAAAATTTTGTCTAACACATCGATAATCCCTGTTTTTATTTTTTGACTCACCCTGTATCTAGTACATGTATCCAGTGCAAATATCCTGTACATAAATTCAGTATGAATATCCAATACAAACATCAAGTACATATATCCGGTACATATATACAGTACAAATATCAAGTGCATATATCCAGTACATTTATGAAGTAAAATATCCAGTACAAATATTCAGTACATATATCCAGTAAAAATATCCAGTACGTCTATAGAGAATGTGCATTTTGCGCTTTGAATTAATTATCAAGTGTACGGCAGGATTCCAAAAAGGACGTGAATTCTGTTTATTTTAATTATCTAACAGACAAAAAACCGTCACCGAAGTATTGATATAGCAATGAAAATTTAAACCTGAACCCTCTCTTTAATTTAGAATTCCTTTGACACTAAGTTTTGACTAGTTTTAATGCGACAAGACACGATGAGAATATGTTGGATCAAATTAAGATTGGCAGAAGCAGAAGCTGATTTTAAACTTAGATTTATGAGAATGTGAAGGGCCGGGGAATATCATAAAGTGATAAAAAAAAAGAATCGACTTTGAACCAGAGAAGTTACAGTGTTTACATAAATCTGTATGTTGTATAGCGTATACTGTAAAGTACCCAGATAAGTATATTGTATAGCGTATACTGTAAAGTACCCAGATATGTATATTGTATAGCGTATACTGTAAAGTACCCAGATATGTATATTGTAAAGCGTATGCTGAAAAGTACACAGATATGTATATTGTATAGTGTTTATACTGTAAAGTATCCAGATATGTAAAGTGTAGAGTGTAGAACCCAGATATGTATATTGTAGAGTGTATACTGTAAAGTACCCAGATATGTATATTGTATAGTGTTTATACTGTAAAGTATCCAGATATGTAAAGTGTAGAGTGTAGAACCCAGATAAGTATATTGTATAGCGTATACTGTAAAGCACCCAGATATGTATATTGTATAGCGTATACTGTAAATTACCCAGATATGTATATTGTATAGCGTATACTGGAAAGTACCCAGATATGTATATTGTATAGCGTATACTGTAAGTACCCAGATATGTATATTGTATAGCGTATCCTGTAAAGTACACAGATATGTATATTGTATAGTGTTTATACTGTAAAGTATCCAGATATGTAAAGTGTAGTGTAGAACCCAGATATGTATATTGTAGAGTGTAGAACCCAGATATGTAAATTTGTATTGTATTGTGTATAGAACCTAGATATGTAAAGTATATAGAACCCAGTTATGTATATTGTAGTGTATAGAACCCAGATATGTAAATTGTAGAGAGTAGAACCCAGATATGTATATTTATATTGTATTGTGTATAGAACCTAGATATGTAAAGTGTATAGTGTATAGAACCCAGATATAGATAGTTGTGGTGTGAAGCAGGAATAAACCCCTCGGGCAAATATACTTTTGTCAGAGCTAAGCTAGGTTAGAATAAAGACGAGCATGGTTTGAGCAGGTTAGAGGAGGTTCAGGCTGTGCAGCCTGCATCAGTGATTAGGTTCAGAAGGATACACGATCTACACATTATATCTCAAACTCAGGCAACCCTTAGAACCTAAAGCTATCTGGGTTTTAACGTTCTCAGCAATAAAAGTTCTGGCATATTTGCTAAAATTTTCTTGCTACCGATTTTGAAACAGTTTTTTAAAATTTTTGGTATTTTTAATTTAGTTTTTTCTTCTTAATAATTACTTTAGTTTTAACTCGTTCTCTCTCTCCACTCTGATATCCCACCCTGTACACTAACTAACCTTAGAAAGCTTGTTAGCCGACGACGAAGTCCAGTTTGCCGAGGCAGAGTTTGATGTTGCTGAGGAGTTAGTAGAGATAGATGATCGTTCAGTGTCCCAGTCCCTACCCTTCAACCCTCCCCCCAGTATAGGCATTCTACGATCTATTCACTTCAAAATTTCATCTGAAAATATCATAGGATTTAAAACTTAATTATTTATAGATTTAAAATGTTAGCATGATTTGATTTAAATTTGTGGAAACGAATCCAAACTCTACTTTTTCGTCATCGGAGATTACCTTAATTGGCTGAAAAGTTGGTCTCCGATGCTGCTTTTAGAAAAGGGATTAATGCTAAGTTTTGTCAAATTGCAGGATCAAGTTTATTGATAAATTAAACTTTTTGATCGAATGTCAAAACTTTTTTTTAATTTAAAAGAACCTTCTCAGAGAATAATTTCTTGCAGTATTTATATCAGTTTTATCATAGTAAAGTAAACAACTTTGAAGTCTGAACCCATCAGTACGATATAAAGTACCCATCAGCCTACACCTCTTTATATACACATAACGCTTGTCTGTTTTTTTTTGTGTCTAATAAACGTCAAAACTGCTGAACCGATCGGGCCCAAATGTTTAAAGTAGCTTATTAGACAGCATGGAAGGTTTATGACCCGGTCGAAATTATTACCTAACAATTTTATAATTAAAATTTTTTGCATTTATTTTCAGTTCAAAGAGAAATGGAGGCTTAAAAAGCAACATTTAAAGTTAAAATTGTTTCTAAAAAAGGTTATTTATAATATATTATACATTTTACTATATAAATATATATAAATATATACTGTATATGTATCAGCTCTATTGAGGAGCAAACAGGATGAAATATGCAATCTGATCTGATCTGATCTACTTGAGCTTAGAAACTCAACCTGGACCTTGCACCGTATCAGGTTAACATAAAAACTAGAAATCTATGTATATGTTAAATATATTATATAAATTTTGTATATAATCAATTTTGATTAACTTATTGCAAGACTTTAAAAGAATTTTTCAACAATTGTAATCCTTGTTCTAGTTTGAAATATAATCTTAGTATCGTTATTACTAAAATTACATCTATAAATAAGAAATTGTAAACTCCCAAAGTAACTATATATATATATATATATATATATATATATATATATATATATATAATCTTAGTATATATTTCCCTCCGTTAAGCTGAGGCAGCAGTGCTTAATTTGAATTTATATAAAAAAGGGGGAATAATTTATAAATAAATACTATCCTTGTCTAAGATTTTAATATCCCCCCCCCCCTCCCCAACTCCTTCATTGGAATGTGTGTTGTCCTGGGAGGAAAAATAAAAAAAAAACCAGTTTTTAAATAAAAGCATGTAGTCGAGATATTTAAAATACAAGGTCTAAAACTTAGAATTTGTTAACCCGTTTAACCTGCGCTGTAGTGTACATTTTATTACACATGTGGAACTCAACCGGTCATACACGGCGCTGTCTTACAGGGCGAGAAAATCCACCAAAATTGTGCACAAACTAACTCCTGTCATTTATTACTTAATTTTTTATTTCTGTATAATATTTTAAATGTTACAGAATTTTTTTCTTCTAAATGTTAGGTTAATGATTCTTTATTTGATGATATTAACTATTTATTATCAATTTGTGAGTACAGGAGAAAATGTCTCAATTTTAGAATTATATTTTCAATTACATTAATGTATACTAAATTATATTATTTATCTACGAAATTACTTTATGATTATTTTTTTTTAATAATTTTTAATGAAACAATTTTTAAGAATCTTTCTAATTTGAACAACTTAAAAGATCAACATAATTATTTACTTATTTCTACAGGGTGTCCCACATCATATTAGATCGTTTATAACTTTAAATTGAGATTTTCGAGACGAATCAGAAAATACTAGGTTTTTCGAGTCTCAAGGGCGTATTTTGGTGATAAGGCTATAAGTTAATCCAATATGATATGGGATGCTCTGTATAAAGGTTGATTTGTAACCCTATCTAAAATATATTTACTGAATATTTTAAGTGAGGGTGAAAACAAAAACTGTAAAACCTGTGTGAATAATAACAGTTGTTAAAGAATAACCTTGTTCTGTTACTATCCAAATATATTTGTGAATTGCGTGTATACGAACTAAAAACTCAACTCATGCAATTTATTCCTTTTCCTACCACCCGGAGGGGAAATCTAACAATTAACATGACCGACTTTTTAATTATACACGATTTATATTAAGATTGTTTCATGCATTTTCTGATCCTGATCGTTCTCTTTTCCTACTGTCGTTATCCAAATAAAGTCTACCCTCTATATCTTAATAAAGTCAAACTTCTGTATCTAAAGGTAAATATTCTGTATCTAAAAGTTTATTGTCTGTGTCTAAAAGTCTTATTATCTGTATCTAAGGGTATACTATCTTTATCTAAAAAGTCTACTATCTGTATCTAAAAGTCTACTATCTGTATCTAAAAGTCTACTATCTGTATCTAAAAGTCTACTATCTGTATCTAAAAGTTTACTATCTGTATCTAAAAAGTCTACACTAAAAGTTTACTTTCTGTATCTAAAAAGTCTACTATCTGTATTTAAAAGTCTACTATCTGTATCTAAAAGTCTACTATCTGTATCTAAAAGTCTACTATCTTCTAAAAATTTACTATCTGTATCTAACAAGTCTACTATCTGAATCTAAAGTCTACTAAATGTATCAAAAAGTCTACTTTATGAAACTAAAAAATCTACTATCAGTACTAAAAGTTTATCATCTTTATTTCAGAAGTTCACTATCTCTATCTAAAAAGTTTATCCTTTGTTCTAAAGAGCCTATTCTAATATCTAGCCGAGAATAGATTTAATTTATAATTTATCTTTAACAATTTTACAGAATCTCTAATCAGGTTTAGTCTAGACCCTGAACACACTTCACTACCTGATCAAAGCTTTAAAATAGTTTTCATCAGGTTTGGTTTGGTGCCAGGTTCAGTACAGGTTTTCGTAACAAGGTTTAATACCAATTAAGATCAAAGATAAAGGATTAATGTATACGCTACCCAGGGCTTTATATTCAACAGAACAGTGGGAGCCTTTCTCAACCGAACTTTATAAAGTCTACACGCCCCCTTTCAACCACACCACAACACTTCATCCTTGCTCAACCCTATCTCCTCACCACAACACTTCATCCTTGCTCAACCCCATCTCCTCACCACAACACTTCATCCTTGCTCAACCCCATCTCCTCACCACAACACTTCATCCTTGCTCAACCCCATCTCTTCACCACAACACTTCATCCCTGCTCAACCCCATCTCCTCACCACAACACTTCATCCCTGCTCAACCCCATCTCCTCACCACAACACTTCATCCCTGCTCAACCCCATCTCCTCACCACAACACTTCATCACTGCTCAACCCCATCTCCTCACCACAACACTTCATCCCTTCTCAACCCCATCTCCTCACCACAACACTTCATCTCTGCTCAACCCCATCTCCTCACCACAAACAACACTTCATCTCTGCTTAACCCCATCTCCTCACCACAACACTTCATCTCTGCTCAACCCCATCTCCTCACCACAACACTTCATCTCTGCTCAACTCCCTCTCACCACGACACTTTATACGCCTACTCTGCCCCAAACCCTCATCTTTATTTCCAATCAAGCTTTACAGTTTCTCATAAAGACATTTGGTTCTTCATTTAGTTTGCTATGTACACCTAAATATATACAGAACAACATATTCTTCTTCTCTTCCCACTACAATCTCTAATATATCAACTCTGAGAGCATTTCAATCCTTGTAAGCAGTAGTTTTTGCTTGTCTGGAAATGACCCCATTTATCAAGAAATGCTACAAAATTCCTACACTGCAATACAGAGAAAATAGCTGGAGTTATGACTGAGGCTGAAAGCTAAAATACTAACTATTAATTATTCTAAGCAAAAAGTCTAACTAGAGCTATATCCAGTATGTCAGTTTTTTTAACCCCTACAAGGTTTAAAGAAGAAATGCAAAAGTTGATGTAAGGTTTAATGCTAAAGCCAAGCTAAGAGCTAAAACCGCAACTAGAGCAAGAACGGTGACAGAGCTAGATCTGAATATGCAATTTAATTTTTAGATAGAACAAGAACAAAAAATGTAAACAATATTTCTGGCAGCAAACAAGCATTAAATTTGAAAGTCACAAAACATTAATGAAAATCTGCAAAGAATAAAATAAATGTATTCTCTGAGTTCTGTGTTCAGCTCCAGTGTAAACCTTCACGCGTTATATAAATGTTGACATAAATGGATTATGCGCTAGAATTATTGTACTAAAATACTGCATGTGTAGTCGGGGTTGTTGCAAAAGTTAGTTTTACAACTAAGGTTATTATCCTGTTAGATTGTGAACAGTCCTAACTATCAGAATACCCGACCCTGCCAAACTACTCGCTGTAAAACTAAACTTTTCCATATAAACCTAACAAGCATATTTTTTCCAGTACATTATAATAGAAAACAAAGGCAAGAATGATCTAAAACTAAAGTTCTCGGTTCTAACTCTGAAAATGATTCATAAATAACGCTTGCACTAAGTTCCTAACCCTAATGTACTCGTTAAACCAATTAGAATAGTTAAAAGCATGCTTTAGCGAGTCAATTTTCTTAATGTACAATAAAGTATACTTGGTGGGGGCTTACTGGCTTGAGTTCTCCCCCCCCCCCTCCCTTCCTCTCCCAACCCTCCATTCCTCTTCTCCCGGCCCCTCCCCAGTAACTCAGGGAGTAATGAAACCAAATATCAGGACTGATGAACAGAGATCAATTTTTACGATTTTGAGACCCTCAATTCAGTATTTCTATGCAAAAAAACATATCCTGCCAAATAGTTAATCACTCACTTATCTAAAGGTCAACACTGAAAAATGTATGCATCAACACCTTTTATGCAATTTTGAATTTAATTATAACATTTGTATAATGCTGGATACAGGAGAAATAAAGTTGAACCAGTCAGATTATTTAAGACAGATAACTCTGACAATCCTCTGAGTTCATTAATATTTTGCTAATGGCGCGGGATTTAAATCTTAGTTCAAGGTCACCCCCCCCCCTCCCTCCTCCTTTAGAAGACATACACA